GACGACGAACTGACCTACGAAGGATTCTTTCAAGATTTCGGACCCCTAAACATTGCAAAACTCTACAAGTACTGCCTCAAGCTAAACAAAAAGTTGAAGGTGGGGTGGTATTCTCAAAATTATGTATCAAAATAGATGAATGAATTAATGAATATATATATAAATGAATGAATAAATGATGGAATGAATAAATAAATAATGATATTTATAGTAGATATGTTTAATTTGATTTTATATAATTTTGAAAAAAGGTATGTGCAATTTCAAAGAAAAAAGTTGTCCACTACACGAGTTTCAATCCGCAGAGAAGAGTGAACGCTGCCTTCCTCATTGGATCATATGCCGTTGGTTTATCTTTAATTAATTAATTTATTAATTTATTCATTAAATATTTGAATAAATTAATACATAACTTACTATTTCATTAATTAATTATCCTATTTGGATAATTATTTAAACAGTAAAAATTGTTATTTGAAAAGTTTATAATGTTTATAAAAAGTTTATAATGTGTCCTTCTAAATCATATCCATGTAAATTTTCACATGTGCAAGCGCACACGCACACACACACACATTATAAAATGATAATGGTGATGATGATGATGATAAAATACTCAACGATGGATGTATTTTTTGAAGGTGTTGTATTGTTTTTGTTGTGGTATGCTAATCAGTTGAGCGTTCGCAGTTGCCTAATTTAAACTCATTTTCACACCGTTTTCGATACTCTAATTAGGGAAAGAAATAAAAACAAAGAACAAATAGTACTAAATGATGGGCGATAATAATGATACGGAGAAATAACATTTAGGAGAACAGTTCATTTTAAATTCAGTTCATGTTATTGCATAAACATAACATAAATAATGCTGGTAAATCATTTCATAATAATAATAGCAATAACAATAAATTATAACAATAAATAATAATAATAATAAATATTAAAAAATAACATTTATTCGATTTCTCAATTCAATAATACACAATGGCATAAACATAACACGACACAGCATGCTTGTGAAATATCATTTAATTGCATTCTTATGTATATTGACGTTGAACATCTTTAAAAAATTTAATCACACGCACACATACGTACACACACACACACACACGCATGGATACATACATGGTATATTTTTACCATGGGCTCGTACATACATACACACGTACATACATACACTCATACATACATACATATATACACACATACATACGTACATACACACACACACACATACATACATACACACACAGATTATTCATTTGAAAATGTCACCTATTGAAGTTTACAAAGTACTTGTGTCTGGCAGTAACCCACCTTTTACTAATTTCAGGTCGGTCATCATCATCATCATTACTAACATCATCATCATTGCTAACATCATTATCATCATCATCTTCTTTATCATCATCATCATAATTTTTGCTAAAATTTTCTATACTAATAATAGCATCATCGTCTTTCTCTTCTTTTTTATTATTATCATTTTTACTAACATCATCATCGTCGTCGTCGTCGCTATCACGTTAGGGATGCCTCACAGGGCCCTGCCATATACACCGTCAGTCTCATGGATTGCTTCAATGGCATAAATAAGGTTTAGGAGGATGACGATGATGATGACGATGACGTTGTAGTTGCTGCTGCTGTTGATGATGATGACGATGATGATGTTGTAGTTTTTGATGATGATGACGATGATGATGTTGTAGTTGTTGATGGTGATGACGATGATGATGTTGTAGTTGTTGATGATGATGACGATGATGATGTTGTAGTTGTTGATGGTGATGACGATGATGATGTTGTAGTTGTTGATGATGATGACGATGATGATGTTGTAGTTGTTGATGATGATGACGATGATGATGTTGTAGTTGTTGATGATGATGACAATGATGATGTTGTAGTTGTTGATGATGATGATGACGGTGATGTTATAATACGGTGATAGTAAAATAAAGATTGATAGCGGTAATGATGATGTTGAGATTGTTGACGAGGAAGCTAATGATGATACAGATATCATATGATATAGATATGATACAGAAACGATGATGATGATGGTATAGGTGAGAACGATGAAGAGGATGATGATAACAGCTACTAAATAAATCAACAATCATTATAATAATGATGACTACAAATTTTTATGATACTTTTTAATGAATTTGTAAAATGATCGTATCAATTACTTACAATGATGCAACGATAGAATCACACTGTTAACATGATAGTATCATATTTTTTAATCTTCAAGGCTATGATATCTGGGATATTAAATTTTGAGTCTTTCAATGTTGAGGAATATGAACACTATGAGGTGTGTTGGTTGTTGTTGTTGATGATGTTGTTTTTGATGTTGTTGTTGTTGTTGTTGATGTTTTTGATGTTGTTGTTGATGTTGTTATTCTGTTGTTGTTTTTTAGTTGTTTTCTTTTTGCAATTTTTTGTTATGGTCGGTTTTGTTTCTTTTTTAATATTTTGTTTTCTCTTCTACTTTTTACTCAGCTCACTGCATACTAACTATGCAGTATTGCTACTCCCAAATAGGTATTAATGTATTTATGAATAAATGAACAAACCACACCTACTCGTTATTGATTGACAGAAAGTTGAGTATGGAGACCTGTGCATCGTCGTTCCCAACAAGTTCATCGCATTCTGCGGGCCACATTCGAGAAATAAGATTGAACACGGTTTGACCGTGACGTAGTTTTCATTTTAAATTTTAAGATGAATTATTTGGATAGTTGATTGTTTTGTTTCGCTTCTATGGTAATGCAATTAGACGGAAATGAACATCCCATTCCTATATTCGAAAAATTCAGGATACCCTCAACATTCTCCGGACTTTTACTTTTCCTATTTTCGCAAGCAGCGCGTGTCGACTGTGATTCGACTGAACAAGAAAATGTACGACGCGCGCAGGTTCACAGAGGCTGGCTTCAGACATTACGAACTCTTCTTTATAGATGGCAGCTGTCCTAACGATAATATCTTGCATCGGTCGGTTGGTTGGATGGTTGGCTGCCTAGTTGGTTGGCTGGCTGGCTGGCTGGTCGTTTGAATGACATATTGATTGGTTGATTGGTTGGTTTGCTGGCTGACTCTGATAAATAATAATAATAATAATAATAGCAATAATAATAAAGATATTAATATGAAAAATTGTTATTTCTTTTTCAGATTTTTAAACATTTGCGACGAGTCTACTGGTGTCATAGCTGTTCACTGCAAAGGTTCGCGTTCAATAACGATAATAAAAATAATACAAACACACACATACACACACACGCACACACACAAACAAACACACACGCACACTCAACAGCTGGTTTAGGACGCACCGGCACCTTGATAGCGTGCTACTTGATGAAGAACTATAGGTTCACTGCCCTGGAAGCCATAGCATGGCTCAGGATTTGCAGGCCCGGCTCTGTCATTGGTCCTCAACAAGCCTACCTTATTCAGTCCGTTGCTATTATTATTATTATTATTGTTGTTGTTGTTCTTCTTTTTTTTCTTCTTATTATTGTTGTCGTCTTCATTGTTTAATTGTTTATTTGTTTGTAACGAATAATTTTTCCTAAAATTCTAACCAGAAAGCAAAGTTATTTATGGAAACTCGGGAAATACCCACTATCTAGTCCTCTATCGGACGTCGATTCTAACAACAACAACATAGACTACTGCAACAACAACAACAACAACAATAATAATAATAATAATAATAATAATAAGTTATATGATAATAAATTAACTAAACTGTCATCATTAACTCTCCTTGCTAGCATGAGCAGTGATGACGTCATTAATAATAATTTCAACAATAATAGTAATAATAAAAATAAATGTTTTCTAAACAATGAAGGTGCGATAAGTAATGATGATGATGACGACGATGACGATGATGATGATGACGGAGTTGCTGGGGAGAATGACGTCAGAGGAGGTGTTGATAATAATATCTCGAAGAGACTGAAGCAGCTATCAATTGTTAGTTGTTGTTGTTGTGATGTGATGGAATGAGAGAGAAGACCATCATCATTCGTCATCATCATCATCATCGTTATTATTATTATTATTGTAATTATTATTATTATTAATATTAATGAACGAACGGATGAACGAACGAACGAATGAATGAACGAATGAATGAATGAACGAACGAATGAACGAACGAACGAAAGAATGAATGAATGGATATTATTCTTCCTCAAAACAGAAGAACAACGAGTTGCAAGGTGAAATATTGAATAGAAGGAAAATGTTTAGGAGACCGCTTAGGTTACATTCGTTAATATTATTTATTTATTATTATTATTATTCTTATTATTATTTATTTATTATTATTATTATTATTATTGTTTGTTAATAGACACAGTGATTTCCTACCGACTTCTTTCTCGTCATTAACATTGCAACAATCCACCAACAACAGCAACAACAACAACAATACTTCCAACAACAACAACAACAGTGATGGCAAAACTTCGAGTAGGCACGCTTTTACCAACCACAGCACCACTAACAACAACCACAGTAGCAGCAGTAGTAGTAGCAATCGCAACGACAACAGCTTCAACGTGTTTACTAGGAGTAAAACATTCAATTCTAACATCTTCAAAAGCTGCAACAACAACAACGCAACTTTGTCTAAATTAAACAACAACTACAGCAGCAACAACAACAACAACACTAAACCCACCCTATCTTCTGCTGCTACCCACAACAAAAACCACCACCACTACAATTACATCAACTACATGCCAACATGCTACACCTCAAGGGCAGTCAGCAACAACAACATTTACAACAACAACAACAGCAACAGAACTCTCTTTTCAACAGCTGCAAAATCCAACATCAACAACAACATCAGCAACAGAGCTCTATTCAATAGTACTAGCTCTTTAAATAAGTCTATTCAGCTAATTAACAACAACACCAACAACAATAACAACAACAATTATTACATTACTCCATTACCGGTGACATTAAGTAGGCGTGTCAATTCATCTCATAACATCAACCTCAATAACAGCAATAATGTCAAAAGGCAGCAACAGCAGATTAAGCTAGATAGCAGCACCAACAGTAAAACTGCTTTCAGTTCATCGAGGGGGTGTGTTGATTAATCTATTTCATTCGTTCGTTCGTTCGTTCATTCATTCATTCCTTCATTCATTCATTCATTCATTCATTTGTCAATCAATCATTCATTCATTTTGTCAATCAATCAATCAATCAGTCATCTATTCACTCAATCAATCGATCATTTAGTTATTTTGCCAGCCAGCAGCAGATGTTTTTAAATGCGCTTTATTTAATTTGTTAACATTATTTTTCGCTGGTCCAATAAATTTCTTCCCCCTCCTACTCAACAGAGTGCCAGGTTCAGTTCGATCCTCAATAATCCGATGATTACAAACGACAACATCATCTTCATCCTCATCGTCATCATCGTCGTCATCATTACATCATCATCATCGTCACCATCATCATTACGTCATTGTAACTATTACTACCATCGTGTCAGCACCACCATCATCGTCATCTTCTTCCGTAAAATTCATCATCATTTTTGTGTAGTCTCAATCCCGATTATTAAATGCAATAATCATCAACCTTTCATCATCATCGTCGTCGTCATCGTCTTATAGATAGATCAGTTTCATGTCATTGTCATCATAATACGTCATCATAATACGTCATCATCGTCATCAAATATGGATCATCACTGTCATTATCAAATACACCATCATCACCACCATCATCACCATCATCATCATCATCATGATAAAAGACATCATCTTTACAGCCATCAAATTCATCATCATCACCACCATACCATATATGTCATCATCACCATCATACCATATATGTCATCATCACCACCATACCATATATGTCATCATCACCACCATACCATATATGTCATCATCATGATGTGGAATCGAAATGAGTCTATCAAATTATGATTAGCTTATATCTCTATTTCATTCTCGTCTATATTGTTATAATCCTTATCATCGTCATCATTGCCAACGTCATTTTATCATCATTATCATCATTATTAAAATGGTTGTTGTTGTTGTTGTTATTTGTGTCGTCGTTGTTGTTGTTGTTTGTTTTTGTTGTTGTTTGTTTGTATTAGTACCAACTCGGTGTCTTTGTTTTAATTTTACGTTTTCGTTTTGTTTACTTGATTTTGTATGATATTATTAATTGAAAATCATTCATTGATTTTATTCTATTTTAATGTATTTCGTTCATCCATTCATTCATTAATTCATTTTTTTGTCCACTCATTCATTTATTCATCCATCCATCCATTAATTCATCTATCCATTAATTCATCCATCCATTCATTCATTCATTCATTCATTTCATTCATTCATTTCATTCATTCACCGATTCATGAAATGAAATGAAAGACTTAAATGTGATTTCGAACGAATGACAACAGTAGCAGAAGAAAGAACCAAGTGCCTTGTAATTAATCATTTAAAAGTGGAATCGATGAATTGAATTTATCAACTAATTAATTGATTAATTTATTCTTTGCTTAATTAATTAATTAATTAATTAATTAATTAATTAATTAATTAACCTTTTTTCTTTCGTATTATCTCATTGATGTTGTAAACAATATGATACGGTCACCTAGAAATTGATAATTTATCATGATTAAAATGACCATTGTATAGTTACGTGTAAATACATATATACACACATGTGTGTGCGTGAGTGTGTGTGAGTGTGTGAGTGTGTGTGTGTGTGGCATTAGTCACCTCTGCTAATAACATTTTCTATTGATCTCTCTGTGTTACCCTTTGTTTTCTTGATTCACTGATTATATTAATTTCATTTTAATTAAATTAATTTATTTATTCATTTATTAATAATTTCTTCTGTACCAAGAACTTTTTACGATGCAATTTTGTTTGGTTTCTATTTCGTTATCATCATTATTATTATCATTTTTATTATTACTTATTATTATTATTGTTATTATACAGAAAAATCGCGAATCGTTCCAAATCCTTAATCTGCTTTGAAGTTATATATGTGTATGTATGTACGTATATAATACAAATATGTGTTGTATAAATTTTGCCACAGTTTAACCGCTGAAAACTGATGTTAATATTAGAAATACTTTCATTCATTCATCCATTAATCCATTCTTTCATTCATTCATTCTTTTATTCATTCATTCGTTCGTTCATTTTATTTTTATCGTGCAATGTTTTTGTAGTAAATTAATTTTTGCAGATAAAAATAAGCGAAGCAACGTCGTTTTGTTTGTATTTTTCGTTTTTCAGTTGTCTGAAATTCTTTTGGTTTGTTACCATAATAACGTTATATCGAACCTGCAAAACAAAATTTCAAACATGTTATTTCATTTCATATTCCATATTTTTCACACTAGCAAATATTTTTATCTTATTATCAATCTTCATTTAATTTATTTGTTAAAATTCGTTCGAATAATCATGATGAAATTTATTCTATCTGTCTGTCAGACACACACAGACACCCACGTTTATATACGCCAATGCTTTATGTAATACTAAATAATATAATATATTTAATTATATATATAATTGTTCACACACACAGGCAAATACATGCACACATATGTACACACACACACACACACTAATCTGACAACCGAGCGAGCAACGATTGTTTTATCTTTCCCGGGAGTTAGAGGCAAAACAGAATAAAGTTCAGCATATATTAGATACGCTGAATAACCTATTGGATGAATGAAACAGATGCGAAATGTTGTTACCATCAAAGATGAGCTCAACATAGCCCAAGACAAAAGACTCAATACTTATAAATGCACCTCAAGGCTTGAATTTCCTAAAAAGGTGACAAATCTGATAAAAAAATAGTAATGGATTAACATTAACGGATTTGTTTATTAATCTCGGTAAATATCCCCTCACTGATTAAACAAAGAGAGTTTTTAAATTTAGGGTTGAACTGTCATATCTTAAAGAAAGCGAGCGATATTGATAAAACGATTAAAATTGAAAACCTGACAACTAAGCAAGTACGCGCACACTAACACATACACACACGTACATAAAGACACCTTATAAAAAAGTTGTATATAATAATTTTATTAATTATGATGATGAAGATGATGAATGACGATGTCCATTTCACTGCTTTCAACCAGTTACGTCATCATATCATTTTATTTTTGTTTCGATTTACCTGCATACAAATGTATAATCAATTTTATTTTTTTTAATAACTTATTTATTGATGCAAATTAATTTCTGTTGATTTTATTTTAATAAATGATTTCTTCGATGATAAATATTTTCATTTTTATCTCAATTTTTATCTTTAAACAAAATTTAACAAGTTAGAAATATATTCTACAAGACAAACTGATCCTTTTACTACAAATTATATCCACTCAAATAAACTCTGGTTTCTTCTTCCTTCTCATGCCTTATCCTTTCAGGACATTGGCGACCATCGACCTCCACAAGACCCGATCATTGATTTGGTTTTTGTTTATCGATGGTTTTCTTGACAAAAGTTGTGCAAAGTAGGTTGCCATTGCTTGCTGTCAACTTTTCTACTTACTAACTGAATATACATGGTACGTATATTATTAGTTACATCTGTATATATATATAATATAACATATTCTCTATTATATTTATATATATTTATTATATATACGTCCTACCTTGAGGAACTGGGTCTCTAGACGCTAAACAAAGATTGATTGATTGATTTATATATATATTATATGGCTATATTTAATGAAAATTTTTGTCGACATGTAAATTTAATAATGTTTTTGGCGTTTCATATTTTTTCGTCATTGTCCTAAAGTTTCATATCCGACGTTTCCGACAACGTTGCGACTGAAACTGCTTTTTTGATTAAATTGGATAAATTTTTATTTAATTTGTATTTTATCAAATAATTAAAGGGAATTATTTTTAAATTGTTCTACTAAGGCGTTGTTTTTTTTATACGAATATCAACTTTGTTATCTAAGATTTTTCGCTCAATCAATCAAATCAAATGGTTTTTTTGTAATTTAATTTTAAATTTACAGTAAATGGTATTGTAAAAAAGTGTAATTCTGAATAAAATTCACTAATTTTAGAGACGCAATTTCGCAAAATAAACAAGCACTAAATAGTTAAAAAATGTCTTCTTCAGTTGTTTACATATTGGATCTTAAAGGCAAAGTAAGTTTCATAAACTTCACACATCATGATTGATAATGATAAGTTAACTTTTAAAACATTAACATCCTTAATAACCTACCTATTTTATTTCTTAATTATTTATTTATTTAATTAAATTTTGATATACATTAAAATGTAAAATTAATGTAAAATGTAAATAAAAATTAGGTACTGATCTCTCGAAACTACCGTGGGGACATAGACTCTAATGTGATTGACAAGTTCATGCCACTTGTGATGGAGAAGGAGGAGGAAGGCAATGTGACACCCATCATTCAGCATGGAAATGTTTCCTTTGCCTACATCAAATACAACAATTTGTATTGTAAGGATTGTTTGGAAATAATATTTTGAATAAATTTCAATTTTAGAAAGGTAAATTATTAAGTCCTAATTTATAATTATTACTGCTTATCAAGTAAGTAGAACTATTTCATTTTCAGTGGTATCTTTGACAAAGAAGAATGCCAACATTGTCATGGTGTTCCAGTTCCTTCACAAGATGGTTCAAGTAATAATAATAATAATAACAGTATTTATAATGAAAATAATAAAAATACTGGCAATGTTTTTGTGTGTGTAAACCTACTGCTTCTTTGATTGAAGACAGACCATTATTTATTGACCAATAAGACATCGATTGACTAATATTTTAATTTTTCAAATAAATGTTGTGTCTCTGTCAAATTTGATTGCTTGAACTAAAAAACCATCACACATTTCGCATAAATCATTTAAATATTTAAAAAAAATATACATCTCATGACTTCTCCGAGATGTGATTAATCAAATTCAAAAAACAATGTACATCTGACATGGGATTGGTTAACTTTAAACATCAATGTATACACCTCACAACAAATCTGTGTACCTGTATATATATATATATATATATATATATATATATATATATACACTACACATACAAAATTGTATACAGGTATATGTATATACATACACTATACATACAAAATTGTATACAGCTATATGTACACTACACATACAAAATTATATACAGGTATATGTATAATATACATCTGCTACACATACAAAATTGTATACAGGTATATGTATATACATCCACTACACATACAAAATTGTATACAGGTATATGTACACTACACATACAAAATTGTATACAGGTATATGTATATGCATACGTTACGCATACAAAATTGTATAAAGGTATTTCTGGAATACTTCAAAGAGTTAGAGGAAGAGAGCATCAGGGACAATTTTGTCATCATTTACGAACTCCTCGATGAGTTAATGGATTTTGGCTACCCGCAGACAACTGATAGTAAAATTCTGCAAGAGTTAGTGGTGGTTGTTATTACGCTAGAAAAATATACAAATTAATTAATTATTGTAGTTTCATTAAGAGAAATAAATTGCTATAATGAATCAGGGTAGTAAAGGGTTGCTAAAGAGATACATGTATAGCTTGGGTTTTTGAAACAAGATTACAATGAACTAGTAAATGTAGATTGCATTTTTACATAGGGTTATTAAGCTTGTGGGTAGAATTTGAAAAAAATTATCTGGTGAAACTCTGCGACAGGTACATAACCCAGGAAGGTCACAAGTTGGAGATAGCTCCTAAGCCCCCGATGGCAGTGACCAATGCAGTCTCCTGGAGGTCAGAGGGCATCAAATATCGCAAGAATGAAGTCTTCCTCGATGTTGTCGAGTCCGTTAACTTATTGGTCAGTTTGTTCTTCTGTCCTGTTGCCAATAGTTGTTATTATGATTATTTTGATTGTCGTTTTGTTTTTGAATGCATCCAAAGTTTTAGATATCAAGTAGCTTTCATTCTCGTTTATATAATGAATGTGTCTTGAATTTAATAGCGAACAACTGAAAAACAAATAAAGGTAAGTGCCAATGGTAACGTGCTGAGAAGTGAGATAGTGGGGGCCATCAAGATGAGAGTCTACCTCTCCGGCATGCCCGAACTCAGACTGGGCCTCAATGATAAAGTCCTTTTTGAGAGTACCGGCAGTTAGTGATTAGTAGTCATTTATGATTTGTGTATGGCAGGGAAGGCATGGTGGCCCTGGTGTTATTAATGGTGGAATTATTTACGACCTAGTGCAATAAATTCATTAACTCCTGCTTGACAAATATGTTTAATTAGTTTGTTTATTCTTGCATTTATTCATTCATTCACGCATTTATTCATTCGTTCGTTCAATTTCTCCATTGAAAGGAGGCAAAAGCAAATCAGTGGAGTTGGAAGACGTGAAGTTTCATCAGTGCGTGCGGCTGTCGAGGTTCGATAACGATCGAACCATCTCATTCATTCCTCCTGATGGCGAGTTCGAACTCATGTCCTACCGACTCAATACTCATGTTAGTTCACGTCATTAGTGGATGGATTGATGGATTACAAAATAATTGGATGAATGAATAAATGAATGAGTGAGTGAGTGAGTGAATGAGTAATTTCAGAACAAGCCGGCAGCACTACTTACTACCTACTTACCCTCATTATTGACAGGTGAAGCCGTTGATATGGGTGGAGTCAGTGATTGAGAGGCACGCTCATAGCAGGGTTGAGTATATGATTAAGGTAAGTCCACTTGGGAGAAAGCATCATTTTCATTATTTTTAATCAACCAGTTGACATTTTATTCAATTAACAAATAAGTCAATCATTTAGAAAACTAACAACTCAATCAATACGAATAGCAACTGACCAATTAAAACACATCAACCAATCGACCTACCACTGCCAACGAACCAACGAACCAACTAACTAACCAACCAATCACGTCAGGCAAAAAGTCAATTCAAGCGTCGATCGACCGCAAACAACGTAGAGATCATAGTACCTGTGCCAGTAGATGCCGACTCTCCGAAATTCAAGACCACCTGTGGCAGTTGCAAATATTCCCCCGAGCAGAGTGCCGTCATTTGGACTATCAAGTCTTTTCCTGTTAGTTGGTGTCTCTCTCTCTCTCTCTGTGTTTTGATTGATTGGGTTGATTTGATTTGTTGGATGTTTGATTGACTCAACGATTGATTGGATGTAAAGTGAGTTTTAGTTTGGTGAACGATTTTGAGAGAGAGAGAGGGAGGGAGAGAGAGAGAGACTAATTTTTTAATGCTTGAATAAGATGTATGGTATGGACGAATATGTTATGTTATAGATGGAAAGTCACCGCTGAATGATTCATTTAAAAAAAAACCAACGAACGAATGAATGAATAAATCCTTATAAATTATAAATGATTTTTTTTCAAGGGAGGTAAA